CAACAATAGAGCGCATACTTTGGCAAAGAGTGCGTTGAGCTGTTTGTTGGCGTTATAATAGCCCCCCTGAGACAGATACGAGCGGACCTGTTCGCTCACTTGCTCCTCATCCAAGTGCCAGCTGTGCTCGTCCTCAGCGCAGGCACCGGCTGTCGGGTCGGGTGCGCCCGCGATCTTATTGATGATCGATCGGGTCTGCAGTATCTCATCGGCCAGTTTCTGAGCGGTTGGCAACACTTCTGTGTGATGTTCTGCTATCAGGTATTGAAGCAATTTCTGCAACTGTTGTCTATCCAATTGCAGTAATGTCTCTGAATGAACGCAATCAATACAATGCCATTTAGTTAATCATTCAATGGACTCCATGTTTATAGTGAGCTCACCAGAGATCGGGACCCGAAGTAAGACAGAGGTGGCATTCCTGATACGATATAAAGCCAGTGCCACCACATGTTGGCACCAGAATATGTCTTTTGTATCGCAACTACACGTAACTGAAGTTATTTTGCATCTAAAGGCAAACCCGAATCAATACATTAATTGTTTGCACTTTATATTTATTCACGTCTTTTAAGAAGAGAAAAAGTTTTTCAAATTCTTGATTCTTTGTTAAGATTTTACTTTCAATGAAGAATAGCTTTGAATACATATTCAAAAATACACTAAAGATTTGGCGACTTATAAGTCATAGGAATAAATGTGAAAACCTATTCACGTACAGGTTTTTGCACCCAATGTTGCCTTTTCTTATGTCACTACTATATATCATATTTTGCTTTAATCTTATTTATCATCAAAATCTCTAATAATTAAAATATGTTTTCAACTTTTAAATCTAATTTCTTGCGTAAAGTAATACATCAAAACACATCTAAATGCAAATCTCTATATTATAATCAATGCCATTCTTAAATATATGATAAACGTAATGTAAAATTAACATTAAAGTCCTCTTAAATACAGTAAAAAGCCTAAAACGCTATAACATGTCATGTAATTCAGCAAAATATATGCATGAATGTGGAGATTATATGTAATATTTTTGGTGGCACTAAATGCTAGATATTTGTGATTGTGATGTATTGGCGATGGTTTGGGTTGTTATGCATTCAATGGTTGTAATACCTGTCGAAAGTGATGGAGACATTGTAGCGCTTCTCGCCGTCCGCATAACCCGATTGTTGTGAAGTAGACTTTGTTGTGATAATACCACTCAAATGAAAGCCTAAAATAATAATTATTTCGTTAATAAATATATAATATGTGCGAAAAGGAAACGGAAGGTGTGGACCAATGAATGCCCCCTTTTTTGCCCATTTATTCAATGATAGTAAGCGTGACGGAGACGGACTCTACCTCTCCATCTGCCTCAGGCTTATAGTGTAGATAACAATAGAGTACAACAAAACTAATTTCAATCGAGAATGAAAAATACCAGGCATTGAGTCGAACCCGCATTAACTCAACGCCATTAACGCCAATATTTCAATATTAGCTAAATATAGACTACTTTAGGGCTCACTGTTGGCGACTCTGGATTAAAACTGGATTAATGGCAACCATTTACACAATATTCTCAGCTTATTATCATTTAAAGTAATCAAAGTGTAGGAAAATGGATAGACTTGGATATTACAAGACTTTACACCTGTTTGTCTTTATGGACGCACTGGTAGTTCAGTGTCTGTCCATATGAGCCGGACGTCCGTTTCAATATGATATTTATCTCATCCCTACACTAATATTATGTACACTATATTATAGTAATTACAAACACATTAATGAGAACTAAAACTAGATTTCATAAAAATATATTACTTTTCTCATTACAAAAACTTTAATAAATACTCGCTATTATTTAGTTGTGTCTATCATTCCTCTCATTCATATAATTGTATATTTATAAACCAATTATAAGCCAAAAATATAGTAATAGTTAAAAGTAATAATGAATTTTATAAATTCAGAAATGTTTTATTTATTGAATGCAACTAAATATGAATATATGAGGGCATGAATTGAGACAATAATACATGTATGAGACGAAACGGATTTCATTTATTTTGATATTTAACTTTAAAATCAATAAAAAACATTTATTTTAGATATGAATCGAGAAATAATTTGAAATATTTAACGAGAGAGTGAAGGGAAAGACTCGGAGTGTTTGTGAGGGTTTGAACGGGCATTAGACGAGTGCACGACTGCGCCCTTAAAATTGCTAACTTTAGGCGAATTGAGTATTGAATAAAATTCAAAACTAATTTTTTTGTTAAACTAAAAAAGATTTGAAGAGAGAATATAACGCAAAATATAAGCTTAAAACTGATATAAATGTGTTTTGAATCCAAAATACCGTACGTTATAATCAAAGGGAGAGAAATGTTTTTAATTCACAAAACGTGACGGATTTGAAATTTATCGTCAAATCCGTCGTATTGTGAATCACACTATCATTTAAATAACAAAAGGATAAATCAATGGATAATTGGCTTATAGTTTAGTCCGAATTGGGATTTTAAATATGAGAACTGAATTCAATATATGAGAGCGAATGTGACACCCATTTAAGCCATAAGATTAGCACAACGCCAGCTCTCCATTGCCTTTTCATTCATTAATTGCATTGTCAGGTATTATTTAATATAATATAACCATGTGTTTCATTGCCTCCATCGCTGGCATCAATAATTCAAGACAATTACAGCAATTGATTACCAACGAAGAAATGCAAAACACATTTTGCCTCATATATGGGTTCACTTAGAAACGGGTCTCTAATGATGATTAGGCACTAGTATTCAGGCATTGGGATTAGATTAACGTATTCCTCAATATTAAAGCCAGACCTGAATTGATTTCATAAGAAAATCCATTAAATCATTGAATTTCACGTTTCATGTGATATTTATCGCAAAAATTTATGACCAAATCATTGGTCGCAAAATGTAGTCAAATATTTATAATCACAGAATGAATATAATTATTATGAGGTCATGAATGGGTTTTCGCATTTCATATCAAACACATGTTTACTTGGATTTTATTTTAAGATGCATTTGATTAGGAAATAGTTTAAAAGTCAAATAATTTTCAGATATTTATATGCATTCAGATGTGAATTCCGGGAAAAAGGCATTTAATTAAATGCGCCAAAAGCTGCAAAAGCTGTCCCTAATTCATATCAAATGCTTTTCATTAGTCCTTCGCTTTACATGTCATTCAAATACATGTATCAAATGTTTTGCATTCAATCACAGCATTTAAAGTGCAATAATCGGCGCCCGATTTGAAACATATAAATTCACGTTAAGATCAATAGCGAGGAAGTATTGGTCGATCGGATCCAATGGATCTATTGGTGAAATCATTGTTTCACATCTGGATTAATGGGAGTCTGAATCATCAAAATTGGTGTATCCAACACAGCAACACATGCGCACCGATCATATGGATTAGGGATAAGAGGGTCTCTCTCTCTCTCTCTCTCACTCCGATCATAACTCTCTACTAAATCATCAAATGTTTAATATTAAAAACCATGAGTTCTGGTCTCTCCCTCTCACTGACTGAGGAATCAATGAATGAATACAATGTATAATAAGTTATCAAAACGAAAAATGCAAACAAATGAACATTCGTTGGTTTGACAGCAAAATCTGTTTTCAAAAATAGACAAAATATTTATTAAATCAAAATCAAAAACTGCTTTATATATAAAAATATATTTTTTAATTACTGCCAGAATTGATAAATAGATTTCCAAACCATAAAATGGGAACAATTTATCGAAATTAATCGACAGAAGAGATATTGAAAGCAAATATTAATTACTTTAAGACTTGTAAGCAAAGGACGAATGGCTTTGAATTATCGATGAATTAATTCGGTTTAAAAAGAAATATTTGTGCGAAAAAATGTCTCAGAAATGCAATCAATTGTTAGGACTGGAGGCAGACATTCAAATGGCGGAGAATTGCTTATTCTTATTCAAACTCGAGGGTCAGATCCCAGTGACGGACCGCCTAATGGGTAGACGTTTTTGCTTTGAAGCGAAGAATGTGTTTCAAAAAAATATGTCTAATTTAGAGACGAGGGCTCTTTCAAAGAGTGTGCACAACAACAGCACAAATATGTTTTATGCATTCAATAATTATAATTCTTATGCAATATTTTTTGGCATTAATTCATACAGAATTGAAATTCAATATTAATTGAATTATATATGAGACGAAACAATGAAATGCCAGCAAAAGTAATGGAGAGTAAAGTAAAAGTGAAATATTTTTGGGAATTGAGAACCATTTTGGTTGTGTATGAGAGGAGAGGAGGCAGTGATTACATGCATTCATGTGCTTCATGTGGTTCTTCAGGTGCTTTTGGCAGTACATCCGATACAATACTGATTGCAGACCGTATTGTTCGGACGGCACAGATAGGAGGGCACGACTGGTAAAGTGCTTCATATACACAGTAAGTCTTATTACTGTAAGTCTTGGGTACTGTGTATTAGGTTTGGAGGAGCGCTGGCGGCGATTCTGGCGTTTTCTCTGGTATGGGCTGAGGAGTCGGTCAGGGAAAACAGGACTACAGTATACACACCACTCACCACAACAACTGACGTATAAAAACTTGAATAACTGGCAGAATAATTGCACACTGTTTTTGAATGAGTGGCACAACACACAGGCGTATCCGCCACTACCAGAATATCACTACATAAATATAATGCTTAATATTATCGCAAAACAAAGACTTTCCATTTGTTTGCTCACAGAAACAACACTTCACTCCTAAAACCCATTTCTTTCATAATATTCACCCAAAAAATCCTGATTAGTATAGATATTAATCAATTTGTTTGACTAAAAATATCGATGAAAGGCATAAACGAACGGAATTTCAAAGTAATCATTGATAAAAAATTATTTGATTGATATTATAATTCCACTTCATTTAGTATTTCATAACTTTTGCAACAAATAGTTTTATTCTCAAAGATTATTCAATTAATTGTTACATTAAACCAATTGAATATCATTTTCAAACAGTAATAAATGGGTGAAAATGTTTACTAAAACTATAATTAAAGATAAATTCATAAACCAATGGGATCTGAGAACTAAAACATTGATATATTAAACACTTGGCAAAGAATGATATTAAATACAAATATGATCTATAACTCCAAGTGAATGAATTTCCACTAAACATTTGGCACTAATTTAGATAATATTTAATCTTAAGGTAAATTTGAAACCAAGGCTCAGAGGTTTATAAATCATATCCAATCGTAGTTTTATGATAATTGTGTGAATTAAACGATATTTGAATCAATTATTTGAGTGAAGAAATATAAAAGAGTAAATCCAAGATTGCATTCATTCAAGTGTCGTATGGCGTGGGCTTTGAATTGTGTCAACAAATGAATCAAACTCTTTATCGCTAAATATTTCTTTGAATAAAAGGCACTTAATTTGTTGAATACTATTGCTATCAATAAAAAATTGCGGAATTGCGGCGAAAAGTAAAAAACAAGAAAATACATAATATATTATAGACAAAAGTGTATCTCAATTGGAAAATGTGTGTAGAAATGGTGGCACAAATTGTTGTCGGATTTCTAGTCAAACAAAGTTGTGGTCTGTGTTTGGGAATAGAGTGCGGAGAGGATAGCGAGGAATAGTAAGGATAGCGAGTGTGAGAGTGTAGTCCTTCAATCAATGTTAGGCCTAAAGGCATGGCATGAATGCCCGGGTGTTGTGGATGTGAGATGTAAAATGACGGACTCTTTGTTTGCCTACCAATACATTCACTGATTGTGTCCACAATATTCTTCTCTCACACGCTATTGTTTATTAATAATTACATTCAACATTCATTCATATAGTAATTCAATGGTAATAACCAACGAATATTTAAATATATAAGAAAATAGACATTATTTCATGCAGTGATTAAAAGCTGAATATTTAGTACACAATTAGAAAACATTAAAACATTGTAGAAATGACTTCATTTTCGCAATGATTGCTCTTTTCCTTAATTATTGTTAGCCTTTTGATGAATGCCTTGAAAAACGCGAGACTTGACAACACTTGCGACTGTATGACAATGTAATGCGAGTCTCACTTCTTATAATTGTCATCATTCTGGACCCAATTTGAATAGAGAGTGTAAGAGAGTAACACATGTGAGCCAATACAACAACACATACACTACAGTACAGTCCCTACACAGTGTGTGTGCACTGTATCTCTACAGCGCTTTAATTCTCAATGCCTTTCATAATGAATACAATTCTACAGCACTTTAATGCCATACAAATCAAACTTAAATACAGTATAACTAAAACAGGAATTCATTAATAAAAAATGAACTTTTTTAACTATATTTCGCGCAAAAGCACTGAATTGAATGCTATGCGAAGAAAAGGGTATTTTTTAATTGCCTTTATATCTGGCCTTTAACTCGACATTTAAAGGTTACAATCAATTCATTTCACACAATAGTTATCATTAAAGCCGTATTTTATATATCATATACTTATAACAAGTATTGATTTAATGATTAAATGATAACATTATTGAGACAAATGGACAATAGATGGAGAGGAGGGGGAGGGGGGAGACGATAGATGGTGTATGTAATGGGTTTGCAGCGAATACTAACCGACTTGGAGGACGTTGTCAACTGATCCGAGTTCGTAAAGCCTGAGTCCCTTATAAAATGGCAGTTTCTGGTTGTCTGGACAGCCCTGACAGTCACTACTGAGCGATGAATACATTTGGTATACTAACCGACTTGGAGGACGTTGTCAACTGATCCGAGTTCGTAAAGCCTGAGTCCCTTATAAAATGGCAGTTTCTGGTTGTCTGGACAGCCCTGACAGTCACTACTGAGCGATGAATACATTTGGATGTCTCTCTCATTGCGAGGGAATGACCAGTAGATGATCCGTCTTTGGACGGGTTCGGGGATCCGTTCATACCTTTCCTCTATTCGCTGAAACGGCACATGAATTGCCACCACTTTTGCACAAATATCCAGTAGTGTCTCAACTGTTCTGCCATTTGGTGGCAAATAATGTCGCGAAGAGTGCGATGAAGAGGAGAGAGTGGCCGACGAAGAGTGAGCGGTGAGTGAATGTCCGCTACTATTGTGGCCACCAATACATACGGCGCTGTGATAGCCGTTCAGACGACACTCGGCGGCCGAAACACTGGAACCGATGGACGACTCGTGGCTCACGTCATGATTGTTGAGGTTATGATAATTTTGGTTCAATTGAGACGATATTCTCCCGACTCTCACACAACACAACCTCTTATTAGCGGCCATTTTAAGACATTATCTCATTAATAAACAACACTTTTGGTGGTCGACAAACACATCCCAAACATATATAATTGCATTGAGTGTCTGATATGAAGAGATTATCATCAGATGAATGGCGGACTCGAGTGTTGGCGTCAATTAAGTATTGATTCAATTGAAAGCATCGATCCATTCAATGTGTGGCCAAAAATAGTTGCACAATAAGGTTGAGACCAATTGAGTGACCAAATGTGATGATAAGATGGGCCCAAACACTGGCCGATGATATGAATGAGCGGGTGATGTGAGCACTGGTGTGGATGTGTCGGACAAACGCTTAAGACATCACATCATGTATTGAGATATTGGAGACAAAAACACTGAATAATAATAATAAACATTGCATTGAATGCAACACTCGATCCACTGCTCCCTCGCCTTCACTCTCACGCAACACAACACTGACTGACTGTACGATCAATGCATTGACAGAACACACAATGCAAGCACAGCCCTCACAGCCTCACCACTACTACTACACCACTACTGCTCAACACTACACTACCACTGCCTCTGCGCACAACTGCACTACACTATGAGACACACTGTACACACACTGTACACACTCTGTACCCACACTATGCTGTAAGACTGTATATAAATTCACTACTTTTTTGTGCACAACTTTTCTCTCCACTATCTGTTTGTAAAGTGCTTTCAATTCATATCGTATTCACTGAACTGTAGTTTACTTTTAGTTTACTTTTAGTTAAAACATTAAAAAAGTTTTCGCGAATTAAATATAGTTTACGAATAATATATGAAATGATTTTTAGGACACAAATATTTAGTCTTAAAATAGTGTGTATTTTTGGGCATAAAATAGCTTATAATAAGTGTTGGCTTTGATTTTTCACATACTATTTCACTGAAATACACTCGCATTTGGCTTTTTCTTTGATTCAATTAGTCTTAAAATAAATGTTTTAATAAATGAGCGATTATTATGAAATGCAATCATATCTACAGTGAACTACATTTTCATTGGACAACCCATTCATTTGACTACAATTAAGCGAAATATAATTTCAAAGCAAAGCTTTATTGCAATCATTAACTCTAATACTAGTAATAAAATAGCAACGAAATTATACAATATATGTGAACTGACAATACTTTCCTATTATTAAATCATAAAAAGGACACAAATACTATCGATTTGTACTTTAATTTTTGTCAAAACAATTAAAATATTTTTATCTATAATTTTCACTTTTTTGTATTCAATTTTTTTGTTAATATTTTCGTTTGAATAAAGTTTTCAAGAAAAAAATCAAATTAAACTAATGGCAGATTAGATTAGATTCAAGGGAAAACAAAATACACACTTCAAAAGTGTATACTTTTCTTATAAGAGTTTCTGACAATTAGCTTTTCAATTATTTATTCAAAAAAAAAAGTTTATTATTATAATTATTTCCTCTTTTGTCACAAAATATAATTATACATCAAATCATGTTTTACTTCTTTGCTATACTTTACAGTTAAACAGCTAAACATTTAAATGTGAACTCAAATTTATGCCTCATTTACATGACTTTTAAAAGCATAACATTTTGACCATATTTTGTATACATTAGGGTTTGTCCTCTCCTTTGGTCAGCAAAAGTCGTTGAGAAGATTTGTTAGGAAAAGAGAGGTTTGAAAAATATGTGAGACTTATATATTTGAATGGAGAGAATGTATACACTTTTGGGAGAGATGTGTATATGTTATGATGGAAATCGGTTCGTCTGTTTCAATGGAGACCAGTGTCTGATAACAAGTTTTGAAATCTCTTTTCAGGAATTCTCCCTCCACTCGGTTTGAGTTGGTCTACAGTGGATCAGATCGCCTACAATGAGATCCCAATCCCCTCCACCTTCAAAACATTTGAGAATTGATTGTATGCACTGACTGTTCGCTCACTGTATTCACTGTACTCTACAAACATTCTGTCACTTTTCCCATATATTCCCATATATTTACAATACAAATACGATTGCATTTTCATATTTTGCCGGACGATTCTCTACAACCACTACAACCTCTGCCCAGAACTCTACCACTTCTCACACCAAATGCTTTGCACAGTCTCTCTATTCTAACCATTTCTATCGCTTTTTAATCTATTCTCTACTTTATTATACCTTATTTCGAGCCCTTTTTCGTAAGCACTACAGCCACTGGAGCTGGCAATGCAAATGTATGGCAATGTAATGGCAATGTTGCCAATGTTGCCAATGTAGGTGAATGCCACCAAAGCACAAGTGCTGTGCCTTTTTTGCTGCCTTTCCAAAGACTTATCTATTATTTGGAACCATTCCTCCCAATCTCTCTCTCTCTCTCTCTCTCTCTCTCTCTCTCTCTTTCGCTGACTCTAATCTTCGTGCTCTCCATTCAAAACAATTCAATTCAGTGGAGTTTGAGTTCAGCAGTAATGGTGTGTTGTGTTAGCCATCGATTTACTCTCAAATGGCATTACTTTTTCTACTCTCGCATACAGTAATTGTGGCAATACTTACAATACTGTCAAATACGGGCAAAAAAACTTGGGTTTCGTTGGATTCATAGCCGATGAGATGAAACAGTGGTTCCAATGAGAATCCATAGAGAATGATAGTCTGTGTTCCTGTGCCTACACTTCCCAAACATGACTAACGCCTGGCTATGAATGCCTTGTATTATAGCATAACAGTTGTTCCTCGTATTAAAACTACACTTTTTATTGATTAGAGTAGAGATGCTTAATATGCAATCGATATTGTAATCCACAGTCACTCATATAACACCCCATCTCTGCTCTCAATTCTCACAAATGTCTCACTTTTTATAAAATTCTCTATTATTTCACATTTCAATTGTCTGTTTCACTCATTTCAGCGTTTTTATTGATTTATTAGAATTTCTGTTTAAAATAATATAATTTGTAATATTTGTCACAAATAATATCAAAATTAGTTTAATTACTAAGACATTGATTTTAATGAATGATTTTTCAATGATTTATAAATGTTTCATTGATATAGCTATTAAAATAGACAAATTAATTGTGATTTTCTAACTAATATTAACTAAAAATAGATTGATATTAAAGAATATTAGAGCAAAAACTGAAATTACTTCCCACTCACACTTCAGAGACGAAATTCACGCAAAAACAAATCTAAACTCATATTTGTTTAAATTCTAGATTAGGTTTTAACTGAAATTTATCGTAATTTAAGTCCACACAAGAAATGCAAACTCATAAAAGTGTATTATTTATATGAATTATACTGTATATCATGTGTTAATATACCCGAAAATAAAGCAAAATGGAAACACAAGGAGAATGTATGGATGTTAATGATCGGACTGATCAGCAAATAATTTTTAACAATCATTTCCTTCATTTATTTCTTTGTCTATCAAAACGTATGGTTATTATTATGATTACTATTTGTCACCATTTCTTATAACACCGTATATGTGAGAAGACTTGCACTAAATGTTAATATATTGTCAAATTAAATACAGGAAAATGAACTTCCGTTCATTTTTTCGTGTGTTGTGTAGATTTAGTCTACAATAAGCTAACCAACAACTAGTTTAAACAAAATTAGTTTTAATACATTTAATTGATTTAACAATCAAATATCAAAGTCATAAATAAAATAAATAAAAACAATTGAATTGCAAAATGAAGTATACATTTGATTATAATTACTGGTTGTCATCAAACTATGATTTTAACATTAATTCAAATTCAATGATCTTTTTAGTCACTGTTTGAAGAAAATGGAGGAAAGTCTATAAAACTATACAATTATTGTCTATTTTTAATAATTTTGTGCTTAATATTAAGTTAAATTACAACTAAATAAACTATTTTATAAACTGTTGTTATAATTTTGCTAAATTTAGTTTTATAGTTAAAGTTAATGATTATATTTAATTATTTCCATTAAAAAACAATATACCGGTATAAAATTACTTTATACATTTGATTTATTTATAATTGTCTAAATGCTTATAATTAAAGTAATTAAAGTTACACATTCAATACATGCATATAATTATAATATAATTTCTAAATTACATTCAATTAATGGAAATTTATATTTCAAACTCTGCATCTAATTTATGTTACAATTTAATGTGTTTTAGATTTAAATCATATATTAAATTAATAGCAGTAAATGAATTATAACTTGCAATAAGAGTTGGTTTCCGTTCAAAATTAATTATTTCAACGAATAAACAAAATAATGTAATATTTATCGATTGCTATCTATATTTAATTTATAACAATTTAGACAATTGTTTTTATATGCAATTAAAGAAAGTATTAAAGTGTGTAGAAATAATTGTATAGTTATGTTCAATATTATAATCTTTATGCTCTGATATTGAATTAAAAATATTATTATTCTTAATCTCATAAAAGTTTGTAATTTATTTTTATATACAGTGCACACAAAATGTACACAAAATGTATACATAATTTAGAAAACATTATATATTTATAGCAAAAGTTATTCAAATAAATTTTATTCAACAAATATAATATTCTTTCGGTGCTTACAATGTATTTTAGGTATAAAATGTATCATATATTATGTGTAAGAAATAGTGGGAAAGACATCTAAATGTCTAAAACATGGTCCAAATATAATATATAAGGAGAAAATTAATTTTATAATTCGAGGTCCGGTAGACATAATGGCCTGTTATATGTGATGTGGAGCCAAACATATGTCTATTTCCGAGTGCTATCATATGGTATCACATATTTTTAATGATAGTTATAATAAAATTATTCATTTTCGTGACTCGTATTACACGCACCAGACTTTTGGGCCGAAATGTGCGCTCACTTTCATATCATTTTCCGTCTTATAATTTGATCGCATTTTCAGTTTCAGCTTAAGGTTAAGGATAGTATGGGATCGACGAAGAAATTGTATTACACGCACCAGACTTTTGGGCCGAAATGTGCGCTC